CATCAGGAGCTTTGGAGAAGGGCACAGTACTGGTGCTCATGTGAGGCAGATCACATCAGGGGCTTTGGAGAAGGGCACTATCGGTGCTCGTGTGAGGCAGATCACATCAGGAGCTTTGGAGAAGGGCACTATTGGTGCTCGTGTGAGGCAGGTGCATCAGGAGCTTTGGAGAAGGGCACTATCGGTGCTCGTGTGAGGCAGGTGCATCAGGGGCTTTGGAGAAGGGCACTATCGGTGCTCGTGTGAGGCAGGTGCATCAGGGGCTTTGGAGAAGGGCACTATCGGTGCTTGTGTGAGGCAGATCACATCAGGAGCTTTGGAGAAGGGCACACACAGCTACTGATGTTGCTTGAAGTTTGCTTCCTTTGGGTGTTGACTAGATTAAGTGTGCAGGTCTGGACTCTCCGTGCCTGTGTGATGATGCTTCCCTGGCCTGTTTCCTCTCTCTGTCTGCTCATCTCTGGTTTCACACTAGGCATTTTCCCGGGTCTGTCCCGAGTCCCATCTGGTACCTCAGCGGCAGTTCTTGGTTCTAGTTTGCATGCCATCCGCAGAGCAGGGGGCTCTGCTGCATGAGGGTGGCACCCTTGGCCTGCACTGCCCCTGACTAGGGTAGGTGCTGGGGGCCCAGTGCCAGGGCAGCACCAGAGCTTCTCGCTGAGCTCTAGCGGAGGAGAAGCCCGTCCTCCTTCACTCTCCCTCCCGACAGTGGTCCCAGGCCAGCCTGACCCTGACAGCAGCAGCCCTGCCCAAGTGCCTGCTCACCCGGCCTGCGACTTGCACTGCGGCCCTGACGCCCAGCCCCCACCTGGCCACGACCACTCCCATGAACCCTGGGGACCGGTGAGGTACTGGAGCCCTGGCCAACGCTTGCAGTGAACCCAGTGCCAAGCGAGAGGCAAGCTGGCGCCTGCTGGGCGGCTGTACCTCCAGCATGACCACACAGATCTGCTTGACGCACTGGATGATGGCGTCCGGCGTCCCTGAGATGGTCACTGCCCGCTCTGTGGAGTTGGGCAGCATGTCCCCAGCTACCTGGACCTGGGCACCTGTGGACTGAAGAAAACGACATTGGAAGAGGACAGGAAAGAGTGGGTAGCAGTGTACACAGGACAGGAGACCCAGGATGAGTGCAGGGCAGTCTGCACACAGTAGCCTTCACTGAAACGGGGCCTTGCTGGTCAGATCCCGCGCCCCGCCCAATGCCGCCTCTCCTCCACGCCTGCTTCTGCGCACTGCTCAGGGAGCTGTGAGGCCTCAGGCCGTTGCTGTCCCACCCACGGGTACGCTGGCCAGGAAGCCCGACCCTCCAAGACGGGAATTCTGCTTCCTCTGTGGAGTTCTGGGTCCCAGGGGAAGATGGGAGGAAATTATGAGGCGGAGGCTGTCCTCTGGGTAAGGGAGGGCTTGGTGCCCCTGAAGTCAGGCATTTGTGGAGGTCAAGCTTCCTCCTGCGGCAGGGCGGGAGTAAGTGCACTCCCGGGGGGCCTGACTGCCGAGGGCGCCCCCGTGGAGCAGGGATGAGTCTGGGTGCAGCCTTGAGCTGCAGAACTAGGGAGCTCTAACCTGCTCATCTCAAGAACACCTCTTCATGGCCGCTCCTGCCCAGCAGGGCCGCCCCCCACACAGGCCACCGTGTTGGCTTCCCTATTGTTTGCCCACTGGACTGCTTGTCCCCGTCACACGCCAGCTTCAGGGCAGCAATCTGTGGTGCCCGTGCCAGGACTTGTGGACTCCCCAGGGAGCAGGCACGGTGACTAGGCTGCCGTGCTGCCAGGACGGGTTCCTCCCACCCTGGGCGGGGAAGGTCTTGGTACCTCCCTGATCTCCTTGATCTTGGAGCCGCCTTTGCCGATCAGGGACCCGCACTGGCTGGCGGGGACCACCAGCCTCAGCGTCACCGGGGGCTTGCTAGTGGCAGGGCTGTTGCTCATGGAGTTAATGATGTCCTAGGGAAGGAAAGACAAGCATGCTGGCCCTGCGGCGGTGGGCACCCGTTTCAGGGCACCCCTGCTTGCACCTGCATTGCTGGGCACTCAGAGGCCATGGCAGAACGTGCAGAGGACGGGCCTGGTCGTCACCGCGCCGCACAGCCAGGTTGGGCTCGGACACGCCAGCAGACCAGACAGAAGGGGGATCCCGTGAGGGCCACACACCAGACGCGCAAGGCTGCGTGGTCAGGAGTCATGGGGCAGCGCTACCTGCTTGCTTGTATCCATGGTGGACACATGCTCTGCCCTTTGCCCAGCTGGTGGCTTTTGTGGCTGCTGTGTGCTGTGCTGCCTGTCATGAGAAGGGTCATGGGGTCAACCATAGATGACAGTCTGTGCTGAGAGCCTGGAGCACTGGCTGTCCTCCTCCACTGGTGTCCACCTGGCCAGGTGTGGCTGGGGGTTCCAGGGAAGGCTGATGAAGACGTTTTCCTCTCAGGTACTTGACCCAAACAGGCCCGCCTGCTGGGGTGGCTGTGTTGGAGGTACGCCGGCATGGCGTTCCCATTTCTCTGGCCAGCTCCTAGGGGCCACCTAACTCTCCCCTTCCTGGAAATCTCAGCCTGAACTATCCTACCTCAGTCCTGACCCTCATGCCACTTTCTAATGTGTCCTCCCCATCGAGCATGACTAGGATCTCCAATGGCCACCCTGGCCTTTCCAAGAGGTACCCTATAAAAAAGGGAATAAGACTTCAGGTCCATTGGGTGCCAATTTTTGATTGATCTGAAGTCTCCAAATGAGATTCTTGTTTAAAAGTTGCTTCACCTCAAGTGTTTTTGGCTAACGGGGGAAGCCCGACAGGCTTCGGCGCCAGCACTGCGCTGGTCCGGGGCCCCTTGCCTTGGGTATTACTGGCTGTCTGTAGTTGATTTACAGTGCAAATCAGGCACAGAAAGATGGGCTAGGGATTTAACTCTGAGGTACAGTGCTTATCTAGAATGTGGGAGGCCCTGGGTTTAATCTAGTTAAAAAATTTTGAACACCTGGAATTCTTCCACAAAGGAGAGTGTCTGAAGGGACAGCATGGATGGTACAGTTGCTGAAGGGATTAGAAGCAGTGAGAAGCCTGGTGGGTCCTACTGGAATAGGAAAATACATGCATGATGCTCAGAACCAGGAAGGTCTCACCCGTGGCCAAGACTGACAAATGAAAGTCTGTCTTGAAGACTGCGCAGGGTTGTCTTTCAGCATGAGGGCACCAGCATGCCCCACCCACTGGGACTACGTAAGCCTCAGAGCCACGCAGAGGCCATTACAGCTGGTCCAAGGGGGCCTTGCTAACAAGTCTTGTTGCCATCTGATGTTTTGAAGGCAGGCAGGATGCAAGAACTGTGGAGTCATGGAAGTGTGTGCCAAGATTTCGAAGGAAAGCCTGGGAAGCTGGGCAGTGTGAGAGAGGGCCAGGTGCCGTGTGAGCAGCCTGATGGGGTGCTGCTCAAGCCGAGGACAACACTAATGCCGTGATGGTGACTTCGGGAATTCACCAGCCGTCAGGAGCACGGAAGCTTCAGGCAGCATGGAAGCCAGCCCAGGAGAGCGGCTATGTGGCTGCAGCTGTGAAGCCATCCCGAGGCGGCCTGGCGCAGGACACAGAGCCACAGGAAGTCCCACTGGTCCCATGTCTGGCCTGGCGTGGGTCCAGTCCCTCCATGCCAATCCTGTCCCTTTTTTTCGGAATGGGTCACTGCACAGAGCTTGCACTTTTATTTTTGCAGCTTTTTAGTAATTTGTCTTGAGTCTCCAGGGGAGCTCTGGACTTGAACTTTGGACACATACTGGCACCGGTAAGTCTTTTGGTGGAGTGCTTAGTTTCCTCTGGAGTATCCTCTGAGCCTCGTGTGTTACAGATTCGGCCCCTGGCTTGGTACTCTTGGGAGGGGTGAAAACCGGATGTGGAGCACAGGGGAGATTCCAGGCCAAAGCGGATCACAGGCCCGAGGAGAATGGTTCTGCACGCCAACAAGCTCACCCCACGTGTGCAGCCCAGCCCCAGCAGGTGTGTGAAAACAACGATTCTGCCTAGCTGTAGACTGAACTGCGGAAACTGAGCCAAACCAAACCTTTCCCTATATAAGTTATTTGCCAATTGATTGACAAATAAGTTATTTCTATTTGTTACTCTATTTGTTACAGTGACAGGATGCTGGCCAACACATCATTCCCACCCCCTGCCCTTTTTGGGGGTATGGTGTTTGCTGGCAAGGGCTCTGCCATTGGAGCACCTCCTAGCCTTTGTTCTTTAGATGATTATTTCTAGGTGGTCCTGTGATGCCTGCCCAGGGCCAGTACGTGACTGGGATCTTCCTACCTATGCCTCCCACAGTTGAGATCTCAGCTACTTTGTTTAGTGAAATAGGTTCTTTTGAGCTTTTGTCTAGGCCTGCTTCAAACCACAATCCTTCCTGGTCTCTGTCCTTCTTCCCCAGTAGCTGGGATTACAGGTGTGAGCGGCTGTACCTGGTGTGTCTGATTTTGTCAGCTGGGACAGTAGGGAATTAGAGTGCCTCCACTCACATCTAACGGGGGCAGCAGACTGCCGTCAGCCTCAACCTGACGACTTGCCTTTCCTCTTACAGTCTGTGGACCAGGGATTCCCATGTAACTCAAAAACCTGCAGCCAGCAGTGGAGGGGACGAATGCAAGCTGTGGTAATGTGGGAGGGCTAGCTGGGTGCTGGGGCACGGGCAGGGCTCGAGTCTGGGCAGCCAGGGCCTGGTGGGGGGATGTCCTGTGGCTAGGTCCGGCGCATCGTCTGAGGAAGCATGTGGGAAGTGGACTTCTCCCACATGCACACATCAGGCGTGGCTGGCCTTAGGAGGAGGAAGGTGGGCAGGAGCACAGGAGGATGCCTCCCTGGCCAGCAGTGTCCTGTGAGGGCCAGAACTGCCACCTCGTCCTGGCAGAGGGGAGTAAGGGAACCAGCTGAGGGAACTCACCTCCTCAAACTTGTATGCGATCATGGCGAAAGCCTTGAAGATGGCATCCGTTGGCCCTGTGATAGTCACAATTCTCTCTGGGCAGTTTCCCTCTGAGATGTTGATCCTGGCTCCACTCTAGGGTGAGAGGAAGTAAATGTGTCTGGCAACAAATAACAGACTCCAGACAGTACAGGCCCAGCTCTCCAGACAGGACCCACTGCACACACAGGCAAGTAGAATTCCTTTCCACAGTCCCCTTGCGTGGAATTTTGATTAGCAGCAGTCTGAGTGCTCCCCAGGGTAGTCTGCACCCCGCGCACATGCTGCAGTCAGGGGGAACACCACTCCAGCCCAACCCTGCCCAGATGGACACGCGCCGGGCCCCGAGACCCTCCTGGCCTTGGCATCCTGGGGTAGGTGGGATGGTGTCCACAGCAAGTCACACGCACCTCCTCACGCATCTTCTTCACTGTCTCCCCTTTCTGGAATGGAGACGCAGATGAGAAGAGTCACTGACCGCTCGACAGAGGGCGCATGGCCTGGCATGGCGCGGTGCTGGGAATTGCTGCTGTTCTGCGGGCTTGGTGGACAGTGCAGCCAGGGTGATGGGCCCTGTCCACCCCAGCCTGTCCCCTGTGAGTGTCCAGCCCTGCCTGCACTATGAGTGAGGCCTCATCTCCCACATCCTCAAGACTTTATGATGAGAAACATGAGTTCTGGGAAGGTGGGTGCTTGCTGGCCAGCCAGGCAGGCTCCCGCCACAGCATCACTGGGGGCCCCGGGGAGGCCCAGCAGGGCTGCGCACGGTCTCCAAAGACAAAGGGCAAGAAAGGGCTCGGGTGATGAGCCGTGAGGCTCCTGGGTACTCTGCGTACCATGCAGAGAAGGGGCCAAGGTAGCACACAGGGTCGGTGTGCCTGGCCCTCTGCACCAACTCCCTTGCCTGAGGGAGGCTCCCTCGTGGCCTTCCGCCCCGCTTAGAATGGAGATATAAGATGGCTGTACTATTGTTAGGGAGATTGTTCCGATGAGGGCTGCTGCATAGTACAAGCAAAGTAACTTTCTAGGGTCACAAGCCTCCAAGCCCTACAGACCACCAATGTGGCGGGCAGTGGTGGCTGTTGAGGTGGCTCAAGGGAAATGTCTGCCCCCAAGGCTCACATACAGCCAGGAGTCTGCTTCCAGGTAGTGCATCTGAAGCAGGAGGGGTTGTTAATGGGCTTCTGGGCAGCACTCCTGCCGGGGACACCCAGAAGCAGGGGCCATCCCCTCAGAGATCCCAAGAGCAGTGGAGCACAGGCAATAATTACCTTCCCAATGATGCTTCCAACTTCCTGTGGGGAAACAGCCACAGAAAGAGAATGTCATAAAGCAGAAGAAAACACAGTTTGGGGTCAGATGCTGCCATCTACCTTCTTAACATGAGAGGAATATTTATCTTTTGTGGTGCCGGATGGAACCAGAACTACAGGCATGCTAGACAGTCCCTCAATCACCAAACCACACTCTGCCCAGGCCCAGGGGGAATTGGGCACCACTAACAGGTGATGCATACTTTTAATCTCAGTGACTCAGGAGGGAGAGATTGGGAGAATTGTGGTTTGAGTTATAAAACCCCATCTCAGCCAATAACCCAGGCATGAGGGCATGCTTCTAATCTCAGCTATGCAGGAAGAACAGGCAGGAATTCATTGTCTTAGGCTGGCCTTGGACACAAAACCTGAGACCCTATCTGAAAAATAAAGCACAAATGGAATAGGAGTGTGGCACAAATGGTAGAACACCAAACTAGCAAGCATTAGACCCTGAGTTCAAACCCCATTACTGCAGAGAAGGAGAGGGAGAAGATGAAGGGGAGGGAGAGGGGGAAGAAGAGGGCGGGGAAGGGGAAGAAGAGGAGAGGGGGTTCATTTCAGGCTGGCTTGTATGTTTCCTCCGTGCCATCGGGCTAAGGCTGCCTGACAAAGTGCTGGAGGATAGGACACAGGCAGCCAGCTGCTTTTCAGACAGACACCACAAGGAAATCCTGAGATAAACACCCCTCCCTGCTGAGACCCACCAGGACGCCACACTGCCTTTGCTGTGGTTGTTTCGCGTGGACATTCCTAGTGTCCACAGCTGTGCCCAGGTGTCTGCAGGGTAGGCAGTCTGCAGGGTCAGTGGAGACAGCACCGCCCTGCCTGCTGGACAGCCCACATCAGGGCCAGCTCCACGCATCACTTGAGACAGGGCTAGCCTCGCCCCCAGCCGTCCAGCTCCGTGCCTTTTAAATCTGCCGTTTTCCCTCAACACCGCCATGCTCTTAGCAAGCCTGCACTGCTGCAGGGCTGTGCACAGGAGGCGAGGAGCTCAGGAAGCACAGCACACCAGGGGCTGGCTCCTCCAAGGGGTCTGGATGTGCACCTCTGCAGGAGGACCTGTGCTCTGGGGTGGGCGTCAGCACTGCTGTTCTAGGCCGGATTCCCCAGCAGGGGCATTGTGGGAACAGTGGGGGCCGTGTTTCTCAGGCGCAGAGGGAGCAGGCACCAGGATGAGGCCCCACTAGGCAGTCTGTAAGACACGTCCACTAGTGCTCAGGGTCAGGAGGGTGCCATCCATGTAGATGTCCACTAGTGCTCAGGGACAGGAGTGTGCCATCCATGTAGATGTCCACTAGTGCTCAGGGACAGGAGGGTGCCATCCATGTAGATGTACACTAGTGCTCAGGGACAGGAGGGTGCCATCTATGTAGATGTCCACTAGTGCTCAGGGACAGGAGGGTGCCATCCATGTAGATGTCCACTAGTGCTCAGGGACAGGAGGGTGCCATCCATGTAGATGTCCACTAGTGCTCAGGGACAGGAGGGTGCCATCCATGTAGATGTCCACTAGTGCTCAGGGACAGGAGGGTGCCATCTATGTAGGAGATGTCCACTAGTGCTCAGGGACAGGAGGGTGCCATCCATGTAGATGTCCACTAGTGCTCAGGGACAGGAGGGTGCCATCCATGTAGATGTACACTAGTGCTCAGGGACAGGAGGGTGCCATCCATGTAGATGTCCACTAGTGCTCAGGGTCAGGAGTGTGCCATCTATGTAGATGTCCACTAGTGCTCAGGGACAGGAGTGTGCCATCCATGTAGATGTCCACTACTGCTCAGGGACAGGAGGGTGCCATCTATGTAGATGTCCACTACTGCTCAGGGACAGGAGGGTGCCATCTATGTAGATGTACACTAGTGCTCAGGGACAGGAGGGTGCCATCCATGTAGATGTACACTAGTGCTCAGGGACAGGCAGGAGGTTGGCCGCTCAATCATGTGGTTCCAGGGAAGAGTCATTTGTGTGTACTTGCAATGGCTGTGTAAGTTTGAAGTAAAGGTTTCTGTCAGTACTCAGGTTTGCATTCAAGTCCTTATGGTTGCTAGGCAAGAACTCTAGTTCCCGCAGTCCAGTCCCCTCAGACAGCCCAGTCCCCTCAGACAGTCCAGTCCCTGTGACAGTCCACACCCCTCAGACAGCCCAGTCTCTCCAGACAGTCCAGTCCCCCCAGACAGTCCAGTCTTCCCAGACACCCCAGTCCCTCGGACAGCCCAGTCCCTGAGACAGTCCACACCCCTCAGACAGCCCAGTCTCTCCAGACAGTCCAGTCCCCCCAGACAGTCCAGTTAGCTCAGACAGCCCAGTCTCTCCAGACAGTCCAGTCCCCCCAGACACCCAGTCCCTGCCATGGGTGTGCATCTACCTTTCCAGTCCCCCCACAGCTCAGTCCCCTCAGACAGTACAGAACCCGCCGTGGATGTGCATCTACCTTTCCAGTCCCTCCACAGTTCAGTCCCCTCAGTCAGTACAGAACCCGCCGTGGATGTGCATCTACCTTTCCAGTCCCCCCACAGCTCAGTCCCCTCAGTCAGTACAGAACCCGCTGTGGATGTGCATCTACCTTTCCATGCATCAACAGACGGATGGTAAGGGTGACATTCAGGCCACCTTCTGAGACCTTCGACTCCATCTTTCTCCCAAAATGCAGCTGAGGGTGGTGGTTTAAGGTGCCGAGGGTGCTGTGAGGAAGGACGGATGGAACCCAGATGGCGTCCCCTGGAACGAGAAAGCACAGCTGTGACCACCGGGGACGTCCATGGCTTCAGAGGACGTCCGTGACCACTGGGGACGTCCATGGCTTTGGAGGACGTCCGTGCCCACCGGGGACGACCATGGCTTCGGGGGATGTCTGTGACCACTGGGGATGTCCGTGACCACTGAGGAATGTCCGTGACCACTGGGGATGTCCGTGACCACTGAGGAATGTCCGTGACCACTGAGGAATGTCCAGGACCACTGAGGAATGTCCATGACTACTGGGGATGTCCAGGACCACTGAAGAATGTCCGTGACCACTGGGGATGTCCATGACTACTGGGGATGTCCATGACCACTGGGGATGTCCGTGACCACTGAGGAATGTCCGTGACCACTGGGGATGTCTGTGACCACTGGGGATGTCCGTGACCACTGGGAAATGTTTGTGACCACTGGGAGATGTCCGTGACCACTGGGGATGTCCGTGACCACTGGGAGATA